CTGTCCTCCACAGGGATTGCATGATGCAGATGTACTTACAAACATGCAGGCAACACACACATCCACATAAAATAAAAATAATAAATAAAACATTTTTTTTTTATTTCCACTTTCATTTTTATCGTTGTTTTCACTCAGGTAATTCACAGTATCATTTTCATACAGTTGTACATGAAAGATTCTTGTTTTTGTCCTTCTGAATACTGATCCCTTTGTCAGTAGAAAATACCTTTCTTCCCCTTAGCTTTCCTTGTTTAGAAATCTGTAGTTAATCACTGGTTAATTACAAAGGAGACATTTATTTCTGTGGCCTGTGCCCACTTTGTCTATTCAACACAAACATTTTAAAACCTGGATAAGCATCATTTTGTGTTGCCAAAGTGTCCCATTCAATACTTTGTGCAAGAGGCTTTCATATGACTTTTTCATAGCCGCCTTTTGTTCAACAATTAATGTTTATTTTTCTAATACTTTCCTCTAAGCTAGTTCTGTGAGTGAATGTCTTTAAGAGTAAAGGTTAAGTGGGGTCTAAACATGAGCAACTTAAAAAATTCTTTATTATTTTTATTTTATGTGTATGAGTATATTGTGTGCATATATATAAGTGCATCTGTGTTGTGCCATGCCCATGGAGGTCCAAAGAGGGCATCAGATCTTCTGGAATTGGTATAGACAGTTGTTAGCCACCATGTGGGTGTTGGGAATCAAACCTGAGTCCTCTGCAAGAGGAGCCAGTGCTCTTAACCACTGAGCCATCTCTCCAGCCCCAACATAAGCAACTTTTAAAGGCTTTTGATTGTTATTATTTTGCTGGTTAGTTTGGTCAACTTGACATAAACTAGATACCTAGGAAGAGGGAAGGAACCTCAGTTGAAGAATTTTCTCCATTAGACCGGCCTGTGGCCATGTCTATGAGGAATTTTTTAAGCTGGTTGTTGATGAAGGATGGCCCAGCCCACTGTGGGCAGTGCTATGCCTGGGCAGATAGCCCTGGACTATATAAGGAGGGTAACTGAGTAAGCCAGGGAAGAAAGCCTGTAAGGAACATTCCTTCATGGCTTCTGCTTCAGTTCCAGCCTCCAGGTTCCCTCCTTGAGTTCCTGCTCTGACTTCTCTCAATGTTGGCTTGTGATCTGAGAGTTGAAAGCAAACTAAACCCTTTCTTCCCCAAGTTATTTTTGGTCAGTGTTTTATCACACAATAGAAAGCTAACTAGGGCAGTTAGCAAATTATTGGCCCAAGCTGCTCTCATTTACTTTGGCTTTCTTGTCATCTTTGCTAACCTGACAGTCCCCTAAGGCCATCCCACTCTATTGGCTTTCCTTTGACTACAGTGAGATTGAACATTTGCTCAAATGTTTGCTGGCCATTATGATTTCCTCTTGAAAACTGCTCCTTTGAGATATGGCAGTGGTACATCTGCTTTGCATGTGTAAGACCCAGGTTTGATCCCCACCCTGCAAACCTCCCCCAAAGAAAATTGTTTGCTTGTGCCCTTTGTCTATTGGAGTTCCTCTTTTTCTCATTAACTTATAAAAACATTTAAAAATATAAAGTCTGTTAGCTCTGTCATATATAGTACGTGAACATTTTCCTCCCATTTTGGCTCAGTTTATGGCAAACTTTTAGAAAACCACTTGGTTTGTGCATTCTGTATTCCTTATGTAGTTTACCCAGCACTGGTAGGGCATTAGAGTCTGCTTGCCTTAAAGGGGTATTTTTGTTTTTTTTTAAAAATGTTTTGTTTATTATTTTTATTTTATGTGTATGAGTATAACGACTGTGTAGGCGAGTGCACCCGTATTGTGTCATGCAATGTCCACAGAGGTCAGACGAGGGTGTCGGATACCCTGGAACTAGAGTTATGGATGGTTGTTAGCCACCATGTGGATGCTGGGAATTGAACCCAGGTCTTCTGCAAGAGCAGCCAGTGCTCTTAACTACTACTCCATCTCTCCAGCCCCTGTTTGAACTTGCTATAGACCAGGCTGGCCTTGATCTCACAAAAGTTCACCTGCCTCTGCCTCTGGAGTGCTGGAGTTAAAGGCATGCGCCACCACTCTAGCCTTAAAAAGGTATTGAAAGGACCTCCACGTTCCCTCCACAGTGCACTCTGATTATCCAATGGAAACATCTGAGTAGCTGCAGCAGCATCATTGTCTCTCTCACTTCCTCAAAGAACTATAGAGCACAGTTAATTTCACTTAATCGTGGGTCCTTTATGAATCTTGGCAAATGTTGGGCTTGTTGGCAAAGATGCCCGACCAATTCACCATTTACTATGTAGTTATCTACAAATGAGTGAGGTATTTTTTTATCCATATAAAAGAGCTCTGTCTCTGTGCCACTAAATTCTGGTATCTTATCTTAGGGACCTAACAGCATCTAATGGTTCTATGTCTAGTAATGTGATCCAGCTGGAGACTCAAGGTATGCAAAGCCCTTGTTTTAGAACAAAAGGGTATTTTTCTCCAGCCAGTAAGTAAAAGTGACTTTTTTTTCAGCTATAAAGGGACAAAAGGTTTTGAGATGATTGTATTGGGCAGGGTTTCCCAGACTTGTTTTTTTGGCAGTTGTCCATATTGCTAAGACCGAGTCTTCCAAACTTCTTGCATTTTTGTAGCAGTATGAAGAACTCACAGCCACTTTATGGTGTGATGGTTAATGCCCAGGGCCTTCTTAACCTAGAGCCAACCACAGTGGGACATGTAACTGTCATTGGCAGACCACTACTCAGTGTGTGTTATGAACTAAAGGCATGATCCTTTCTCCTTTTGATTCAAGCAACTTTACTGCCCTCTCTGGTTATATGTCCCCCCTGCCCCCGCCACCCCAAAGAAAAACACTTAACATTTGACACTGTAGGTGCAACAACAATTGTGGACTGTCCGTAACTTTAGCTTCAGTCTTCACCAGTGTCTAACTTAACTAAGGTACTGTCTTGTCCCATTTTCAAGCTTTTAACAACTCGGCCACATGAATCTCCTTTATTGATTGTCTATGTGTGTTTCATCATCCTAAAATTAAGAGTGTTCCTGTCCATCGTTACTGCCTGATTGCATTGAAAATGATCTACTTCTGGCTCCAGTCTCTCTTCTTAAGATATTACTATTGCTGATGGGGCTGGAAAGATGGTTCAGCAGATAGAAGCACTTATTATTCTTCCAGAAGACCCAGGTTTGATTCCCAACATCCACATGGCAGCTCACAACAATCTGTAACCCCAGTTCTAGGGGATCCAACACCCTCTTCTGGCCTCCATGGGCGTTGCACACACAGTGCACTTACATGCACATAGGCAAAAGACTCATACACATACAATTAAAAAACCTTGGGAAGCTGGGAAAGCTAGAAGAAAAACGTGGAAGTAACAGAACAATTTGTCTCAAAGCAGGTACTGAGGAATCAACACCGAAGGCACTCTATGATAATTCCCATCAGCCACAACCCCCTGTGATGTCTGTCTCTGTTCTAAACACCTATGGATATTTAGTTGCTTAGGCCCAGAAGGAGCATGAGGTAGAGGCTGTTACTGTCCCTGTATAGATGAAGATAGCAAATGAAAACAACCAGATAAGACAGGATTTGAACATACACAGTCTCTAGAGCCCGTCTTCCCTCCCCGCCCTCTAGGGTCTTGGTATATTACCCAGGCTGGCCTCAAACTTACAGTCTTGTGCCTCAGCTTTCTGAGTAGCTGGGATAACAGGCATGCACCACCATGTCCTAAAACCTACACTTTGAACGTGATTGAATTGTTACAAGGTCACACAAGACTGATGATAGTATCATTATGTTACAAATGAGAAACTAAGGCTCAGAAAGGTTAATGGCTTTGCAGTAACTTTTCACACACCCGGGAAGTACCCAAGATTGGTTGAGCTCCTCATATCAAAGCCTGCCTCCTGCTTTTCTCGCACTATCACATGTTCCTCTGAATTCAGGGCTTCGTCTGCTTCACAGAATACTTCTTACTGTGAAGGCCACAAAGAGAAATGCCTCTTCTTTGTATCAATAGCTGCAGTATTTGGCTTTCCAGCTCATTCCTGCCTTCAAGACTTTGCATTTGAGGTCCCTTGGCTTCTTCTCCAGACCTCTGCGTACATTTCATCACCCTGACTCAGGCATTATCAACTCTCTGAGCCTAAGCCTCATACCTTGCGTTAGTCTTGAGGGCTGCCAGAATAAGTCAGCACAAACCAGGTGTCTTGGATGGCAGAAATGTGCTCTCTTACAGTGTTAGAGGCCAGGCGTCCAGTGTGAAGGTGCTGTAGGACTGTGCTTCACTGAGGGCTGGCGCAGAGGATCCTTCCTTGCTTGTTCAGTTTCGGGTGGCTTTACATACTCTTCAGATCATACAATGTAATTCTAGACTTTGCTGTATGTCTGTATTTCTCTTCTTCTATGTCTTTACATAACTTCACGGTGTCTGCAAAGATCATTTCCCCAAATAAGTTCAAATCCACAGGTTACAGGAGGCTGTGTCTTTGGGGGCCACCATTCACTATAGACAAAGCAGCCTCTGTTGCTGCTCTGACGTCAGCATCTACTTTAATGCCTTCAAAGCATTTGTCCTTATTTGATGTGCCTCACTCTTCTGTCTGTCTGCTTTGATTGCGCCTGTCTCTCTTTACTTGAATTCTGACTTTTAGTAAAGAGCTCTCTTGCTCACTTCTCTATCCCTAGGATGTAGAAAAATGCTCAGAATATTGTAGGAGTCATCAAATATTTATTGAATAAAATAATGAGCTAATGATATCATTGTGCTAATGTGATGCCAGCTTGAGCTTTGATTCCTTCAAAAAATTCCAGGATTTTATTTGTATTTTTGTTATTATTTTAAATTATTTGAATTTCAGCTGCATATTTAAAAAAATATTAGGATATATTCCTTCCAGCCATTTTACTCTAACACTGTGCCATTAACTATCTCCTTAGTTTCCTTTGCTTTTGCTTTCCCCTAGGACAGAATTTTCAGCAAATCTCTCTTTTGCCTTCAGGTTCTGATCACCTCCGGGAGAAAGATGGCCTCTGGGCTGTCTTGGTTTGGCTGTCAATCATCGCTGCCCGGAAGCAAAGTGTGGAGGAGATTGTTAGAGATCATTGGGCCAAATATGGCCGCCATTACTACTGCAGGTGAGAAGGAGCAGTATCTCTGCATGTGTCCTGGAAAACTCTTCTTAGAGATGTTAAAACGGATGGGCTAGTATTTAAGAGGGAGACATCTCTCAGAAACATCTGAGGGACCTGGAGCTGAGTTGCATTGAGAGACATTTGGGGGGTAATGTCAAGGACAACCAAACTGCAAAGCACACATTTTACTGTGCCTGAGGACATTCCTCTCTAATCTTTTCATTGCAGCCATAAGGTGGGTGGGTGATCATCCCAAAACAGTATCTAAATGCAGAACTTTGAGAACTCTTTTGGGGTCCATAGTAGCTATGAGTCCTGGAGTTAAAAACAGACACATTTTTTTGTCCTGCATTTATCCTTTTAAGGACACAGAAGCCACACAGGTCAGGTGCTTTGGGAATCCTCTAAACTAATGGTCAGAGGATGTCTAACATACCCAGGATGGCAGCCTTTGCAGGAACCACTTGACTCAGGAGCCCAGATTTTGTTAGTGTTTATCCTCATGAAAAGGGACACAGACAGTAGAAATAAGGAAAGCATGGTGGGGGGTGGGGGACTTAGGGTGGGCGCCTCCATCTCTTTCCTTCTTTTGAAGTGAAGGGAGAGTATGAGCATTCTGCAGTTATACTATGCATGTGAACCCAAGTGTGTGCCAGGTATATGTACATAGTACCAAGCCATGGTTTAGGACAAGGAGTGGTAGGAAAGGATGTTAACTATGGAGAACTCTGTGAGGCAAAGGAACTTCAGGGTAGCTCCAGACTCTTAGAAACAAAGAGATTGTAGCTCATTTTGCTTGCTTATGAGTAGTTATCAGCTTTGGGTATTCGGTTGGGTTTCAAGAGAAAGAAAACTTAGACTTTTCCCTTATAAGGTGATTGTTTCTTCTTTTAAGAAGCCTTCTACTTAGATAAGTATCAGAGACAGAAGAAGACTGTGATCGTGTTTATGAAGCTCAAAGAGATTACAATGTTCTGGGAAATACAGACAACACCAAAATATTTTTGATTTTTGTTTAGTTGAGAAGGCTGGGAATGTGGTAACCTGCAAATCACCCCAAATTAGTCACTGAATCATAAAATAGGGATTCTCAAAACAGGTGGAAGCTTGTTTTGTTCTTCAATATTTCTAACAAGGACCTCAACTCTCTGAATCTCATGAAGTTTATATGTTCTTAAATTACTATGGTGTTATGTATACTATTGTAAAATATAATATTATGTAGTGATAAATTAAAATTTTATATTCAAAGACTAACTGTCATATGAAATTCATCTGTTGCATGAAGCTCTTATATCATGCTTGCCTGTCCTTGGCTTAATAGATTGCTCTGAGTCAGAGTTGTGTTCCTCATAATTCGTGGGATGATTATCTAGGTTCCTTTCAGTGTTCTGAGGAAATGGTGTTATGATAAGTGTATTTATAGTATACTTCATTTTTGTGGCCAAGAGCTTATAATGTTACTTTTTCATAACAAATACCATATTAGAGAATAGTGTGCAGTGGAGATGTAATTTCTTGTAGGATATTGAGTATGTCACAAATTTCTGTCCAAAAAGATCACAGAGATAAAGAAAAGGAGAGTAGGGGGTAGGTACAATAAAAGATAAACATTTCTTTCACACCCAGAAAACAGCAAGTTGAGAGATGTTTTTGAAATAAATTATTTCTAGCCTGACAATTTTCTTTGCAGGAAGAAAATAATAAAGCAATTTCAGTTTAACTAATACAGAGCCCAATGTTGCATTTGGGAAAAATCTCCCAATCTTTCTTGTCTGAGTAAGCCCCAGAAGCAATTCTTCATTTAGAGGTTTCGTTCTTTGAAAATGTAGTGTTGGTAGTGGTGGCTGGCAGGACCATCAGGATGGGGGGTGTGGTGGCACAGGAATCGCTTGCACATGAACACTTGCCAGGCTGCTTGAACGTGATCTCAGCTGTATACTCAACATGATCTACCTCATTAGTGGATTCTCTCAATGGTTGAATCTGCCTGTCTCTCAACTGCCTTATCCTGTCTTTCTCCTTCCCACTTTTTAAAAAAATAAGATCTTGCTAGGTCCCTAACTGCTCCTGAAGTTTGGAGTGATCCTTTTGTCTAAGCCTCCTGAAAGTTGGGATTACAAGTATGTTCTACATACCTGGCATATTGGATCTGTATCCTCTCTGAATGGCTATCTCTAAAGAGAACTCGTATTACAGCACATTTATTGATGATGTTCTAAGTACTGTCCTGTTGTTTCTGAGGCTGAAGAAGAAATACCTGGAGGTAGAAGAGAATCTAGATATGAGACCCATGGCTAGACATGGTATGACCTCTGTTTTGGAAAGTGCTCTGATGAGTACTGGATATCTTCAAAATACTTAGTTTGAAGAAGATAGTATCAACTACTCAGAGCTTCCATCTTTCAGTTTACTCTGAGTTCTCTCTGTGCTGCAGGAAGCCCAAATGTGAAGTCTTTCCAATGCCACTTGGGTCCAGCTGCTCCTCCTCTGGCTTCTTTATAAATAGCTCCCCTTCCCACCCCTCAGTGTGCTAGGAGGACTCAGTGAAAGTGAAGACTATCTAATGATTGGAAAGATAATTTCTTTTTCGAATATTTTATTTATTATTTTTAATTTTTGTGTGTTTGAGTATATTGCCTGCATGTATGTAAGTGCACCCAAGTTGTACAATGCCCTTGGAGGTCAGAAGAGGGCATCAGATTCCCTGGAACAGGAGTTACAGACAGTTGTTAGCTGCCATGTGGGTGCTGGAAATCGAACCCGGGTCGTCTGCATCAGCAGCCAGTGCTCTTAACCACTGAGCCATCTCTCTAGCCCGAGAGAGAAAATTTATTTTAGTGACTAAGGGGAAAAAAAACAATGAACAGATTTTTAAGTTCGGATGCTTGGCATTGTGCCAGCCTCATGGTATGCATTATCATATTTCAAACTCCACAACAATAAATGGGCAGGGATGATTTTCAGTCTTACTTTTTTCGAATCACCTCTCCACCCTACTATTACATTTGATGCTCTTGGATAGGAAGGTTTTTTGTTTTTTTTTTTTTAATGGAACAATTGTTACATTCCTTCCAAGTTTCCAGGAGAGTTTTATATGTTCAGTTCACTTTCCCCTCACTTTGCCCCCACCTTCACCCCATTGCTCCCTCATTCCAGATTGCTTACATAGCCTTCACCATGCTCCAGCGGCAGCAAAAAAGAACTAAGGTCTGTGCCCTCTTGGGGTTCACATTCTGGAAGGCAAAGACAGACAATAAGTAAAAAGTATAGAAATAAGACTGAGGAATCTGTAAGAGAATGAGAAGAAAGTGTACCGGTGATGAGAGACAGGAAAGAGAGGGAGGCTGCTTTGATGCTCAGGGTGTCATTTTCATGAGGTTTGAAGACTGAAAGAAAAGGATGAGCCCATTCTTTGAATGTGCCAGGTACAGAGAAGCATAGGAGCATAGGGAATAGAGAAGCAAACAGCAAGGGCAAAGGCGAGAGTGGGTGAGGCCATGCTGACTGGAGCAAGTGAGGCAGGGCACAAAATGAGGCAAAGTCTGGTCATGTCGAGTTAAGTGGGGCAGGGTTGGACCTCACAGTGTGTGATAAACTGTGGATAGGGTTTTTGTTTTTGTTCTGAACATGATAGGAATTATAGGAAAGGAACAACATGATTTGAGTTTTATAAGGCCTCTGGCCACCATGTGGGACTGAATTGTAGGGCTGTTTGGAAGAAGCAAGACCAGTTGAGCATGCTTTTCTGTGTCTCCTTTCCGGAAACCAAAACCACAAGGGATCTACTCAGTCGCTGGTTCCCTGATCATGTTTTGTTCTTTCTGTGTCCTGCCCTCTCTCAACAGGTTTGACTATGAGGGACTGGAGCCCAAGGCAACATATTACATCATGAGGGATCTGGAGGCCCTGGTCACAGACAAGTCCTTCATTGGCCAGCAGTTTGCTGTGGGGAACCACATTTACAGTGTTTCAAAGACAGACAGCTTTGAATATGTGGACCCTGTGGATGGCACTGTGACCAAGAAACAGGTACTTGCTAGGGAATCTCTGAAAGATATGGATCAGGCAAAGCTGGTGGGCAAAGCCTGCAGAACTGGAGAAATCTTTAGGGATAGTATGCTCTGCACCCTTCATTTTGAGCATCAAAACCCCAGTGAAGGTTATTTCACCAGTTACTGATGGAGGGTGGATTAGGACCTGGGTCTCTTTGTCCCATAGTGCTTATACTTGGTAACTGATGGACCAATACCTTAAACAACCTTAGACCCAGTATTTCCATCTTGATCATCAACCTTACCCAGCTATAAATCCTGTGAATTACAATAACCCCTGGCCTGGTAAGATATGCCCACCAGTGCAATAGGCACAAATATTATGGGAGTAACCAAGCACTCTTTAAATGAATTTAAGGTCCACTTTTTAGGATGGAACCCATATCTGGTATTGATATCAGGCTTAGGAACCTGGGGCTAGACAGATCACAGGACGTAGAGGAGAACCCAATGCTAGTTTTCTTACTAAATAGTTAATGCACCAAACTGACTTTTAATGATTTGTTATACTCATAGAAAATGCATCTCTCATTTCTCACTAGAGAAGTTTCCTTATGCAACAGACGGTGATTGGAACAGAGACCTACAACTGGCCATTATGCAGGAAACCAGGGGCTACAGAGTGCTTATCACTGAATAGGACACCAGTATCAAACTTCTACCACCCAAGGCCCAGGGGTTATTGCAAAAGAGGGTGTGGAAAGATTGTAAGAGCCAGAGGTGGTGGATGACCACCAAGAAACAGAGTTTTCCAGACAGTTGACCAGTTACTCATATGAACTCACAGCAACAGCATCAGCATGCACAAGTCTCATGCAAGCGCAAATCAGGAAAAAAAAAAAATCTCAGCATAGATATGAGGAAGTGGGTAAAAAGCTTCAACATCACCTGAGGAAATTGTTGCAACAGATGGCTGCTGGGAGGGGCAGAGACATTTTCTTAAAAGGATAGGACCCTTGGTAGGTTAACCAGGTTCCAGTGGATAGACCCACACTGAAGGGTATTTGGGGACACAAATTGGACTCTACAGGCATATGTGTGTGTGTGTTTGTGTGTGTGTGTATCTATATGTGGATAGGTATTAGAGTATGTGAAATTGAGTGGGTGAGGGGCAATAAAGGGAGGTGTGGCTAGGGGAGGAGCTCTAAATACTATGAAATATTGTATGAAAATTGCAAAAATTCAATTATAAAAATGAAACAAAAAATTAACTTGAGAATTTCATATAATGTATTTTGATCATATTCATATTCTTCGCCCCTTCATCCCCACCTTACTACCCTGCCCCCGACTTCATGTCCTCTGTTATTATTTGTTCTAATCTGAGTTTCCAAAAATGCTCTTGGGTGTAAATCTATCCCTTGGAGTCTGGTCAGCCACATACCAGTTAGAAAAACTGACTGTCCTCTCCTAGCAGCTATCACTTGCCAGCTCCTCCGCTAGGGCCGGAGCTTCTTTCCAACCTCCCCTATCCACGCTAGTTTTTGTCTTGGGTTTGCACAGGCCTTGTACATGCCATCTTAAGTACTGTGGGTTCATATGTACAACTACCCTGTGGTGTCCAGACAACACAGGTTCCTCATATTCGTCTACTACCTCTGTTTCTTTGTAAAAATTTTTATTTATTTATTATTTTTATTTTGTGCATATGCATGTTTTGACTGCATGTAGGTAAATGCACCTGTGTTGTGCAATGCCCTCAGAGGACAGAAGAAGCTGTTGGATCCCCTGTAACTGGAGTTACAGACAGTTGTTAGCTGCCATGTGCGTGCTGGGATTTGAAACAGTCTTCTACAAGAACAGTCAGTGTTCTTAACCACTGAGCCATCTCTCCAGCCCCCACCTCTGTTTCTTACAATCTTTCTACCCCATCTTCGGCAATGATCCCTGAGTCTTGGGAGGGGAATGTATGATATAGGTGTCTCATTTAGTGCTGAGCACTCTATAGTCTCTCATTCTCTATACGTTGACTAGTTATGTTAATTGCCATCTGCTGCATGAAGAAGCATCTCTGTTGAGAGTTGAGAGGTGCACTTATCTACGGGTATAATAAGTCATTAGGAGTCAATTTAATACTACGTCTATTTTAGCAGAATAATAGTAGTAGATTCTCCCTTATGGTCCGTGATGTGCCTAGCCACCAGTTCTTGGCCCTGATAACAGTGTGAAGTATGGACTCCACCTTGCAAAGCAGGCTTTAAATCCAATCAGAAGGTGGTTGGTTACTCCTATAACATTCATGTATGGTGGCTATTCTTGGTGATTCAGAGAAGTTTGTAGAGCAAAAGATTCCTGTCATTGGGATCCCCAGGTTCATGGATGTTTCATCTCCTATTAATGTCATCAAGGAACCACAGGCATTTAGTCAGATGGGTTCAATGTCCCTGGTGTGGAAGGGACAGTTGGGAAATTTGCTCAGAAATCCCAAGTAGAAGCTTTATAGATGAATGGCTATCACAGGTAAGAAGCAAAACCAACAAACCCCACCTTTGTGTTCTAGATGTAAGAAAAGTTGATGGCTCTACAATTATTTTTCCCCTTAATTTTGTGTATTTTGACTGGTTATGGTGAGTAGTGACCCCTCTGGGAGCACGTTATAGATATTCACATTACAAAGCGGAGACTATGACCCAAACATTGTTAAGAGAAGTTAAATTCTTCAGTTCCGAAATTCTTATCTTCTTATACATTCCTTAGACGTGCAGACAGTAAAACAGGCAGAAGTTTCAGGGGTTTGTGACTAGAGAATGTGCCGTTACACAGTTCTAATTTGGCTGGCATTTGCTCTCTTCTTGTGGGATCTCCTGCCTTCCAGGCACTCCAAACCCTGGCTTCTTCCTGTTTTTCTCTTGGTATTCACTCTAGTTTGCTTAGTTTTATAGTGGTTTTTAAAAAATATCCATAAAAATATCAGTCCTTCGTTCTAGAATCCCTTAATGGTCCAACAAACTGATTATAGGCCCAGGTTAGAAAGGCAAGGGTAATGGAGAAAATAAGAATCTAGAAGACAGAATCTCATCCTGCTGCCTATCAGTTGGGACTTTAAGAAAGTTGCTTAAATGTCTTTGGGCCAGTTTCTTCTTCATCTGTAGAATTCTCATTTCACACAATTGTTTTAGAAATACGTACTAGTCTTATTTCACATGGGGAATACACCATGCATCTCTGTAATTGTGTTTTAGTTCACTGATGATAGTTCTTGTGAGCTGGCCTGGCTCTGCTCTGAAATAGCAGTAGTGATTCAGTCCTTGTTGATGGGAGTCAGCTGCTCACTTGGCATCTTTGAGCACTTGTACATTGAATATGTATTGTCTGGTCTGTACCACTTCCCCTCTGGACAAGCCTTCTCCATACCCAAGGCTCACTTGGTTTTTGTTGCTATAGGAGTCAAGAGACTTGACGCATGTGCTTTTAAAGGTATCCTTGTAGGTCGATGGCCATACCACCCTGAATGTGTCTGAAGTTGTCTGAAGTATCCTTGTGAGGTTTTTGTTCTGATAAAGGCTTGGAACCATCATTGGAAGGACTGGTCTAGTTAGAGCTAAGTTCTGGACTTTGTCTAGTCATGAGAAGCTTGCCTGTTAAACCAATTTCTTCTGTTGTTTAATCTGATATTTCTCTACCTTACTTCTCAGAGCACTTAGCATTTAGATGCTTTTTTCTTGGTGCTCTTGAACCAGTAATGTTAGGTTAATTCCTCAGCTGGATCTTCAGTTCTGACGTTAGTTTATTCCCTTTCTCTTTCCCCTTGCAAGCACAGATATTAGCTTTCATTTTAACTCTTGAATTTATTAATATTTCCCTTCCCGCACTGTTTCATCTGATTTCAAATGTGGCTATAAATAGGCTTGTGTTACAACACCTGCTCTTGGGAATTTTTCAAGTAAAGAAGATAAAAAAGAAAATATGGCTGCCGTTTTTTTTCTCACCTTTCAGGGGTCCTTGAGGGCCATCTTCATTTAGTGGTAGTACAAGTCCCACTGGGGCATTTCTGCAGGTCTGGGTTTGGTTTAGTGAGGGTGATGAGTGGCCAGTTACCAGTGAGCTGCATGTGCACTGTCGGCTAATCACAGGGGATTCTTTTGCCACGGCTTGTCCTGTAGGGTGCTGTGCAGGTAAGACTTCCTTCACAGTGGGGCTGGGCAGTACTTTTGGAGTATCAGCAGATACCAACATTCAAGTCAAGGACAGTTGTGGCTGGGGCACAATTCAGGAAATATTGTGCAAAATAAACATACTTTTTGAGTAATGGTCACTAAAAACATACTTGAGTTTAAATTAACTAGAATGATTTCAAAATAGCTATAAAGTACCTCGGTGCATTCAATAAACATATTTATTGAGACTCTACCAAATATATAATTTTATTTTTTATCGTTGTTTAGCTTTTAAAGCATAAATATATAACAGTTTTATGGGCATATAATTCATATGCTATTCAATTCGCTCATTTAAAGCACAGATGTCAATGGTTTCTATGTTTAGAAAGTAATGCATTTACCACTACAATCAATTTCAGGACATTTTCATCACCTCACCATAAAACCTTGCTCTCTGCAGCTGTTATCTCCCTTCCAACACTCCCCTAGGCTCCAGGCCCTGACAACTGATGACTTACTTTCTGTCTCTATGGATTTGCCTATTCTGGACATTTCCTATAAATGGAATCAAATATGGACTTTGCGATTACCTTCTTTTATTTAGTGTAATGCTTCCTGGGTTTTCCATGTTGTTCTATACATCAACACTTCATCCCTTTTATTACTCCATTGTGTGGATGGCCACTTTTGACCATTATGACTAATGCAACTGTGAATGCTCACTCCAGTTGTACAGGCATTGTGCAGACATAGGTTTCCAATGTTCTTGGTATATACATACCCAGGAGTGGAACTGCTGTCTTAAACATTAAAGGAACCACTGTCTACTCTTCAAAACCATTTTACGTACTCACCAGTAGTATAACACTTGTCATCA